GTGCGCGTGGGAACGGATATCAGCCGTTCGATCACGCGCACGTGGATCGCCCACGCGGCAACCCCCCGCGTGGCCTCCTGCGTCAACGTCTCTGCCATCTGGCGCGTCCTGGTTGGTTGGGGCTGCTGACCGGGCAGCTGATGTGGCGTAACTATTTTAAATTACGTTTGGACCTCCGATTTTTTATTTTTCTTTCAAAAATACCCTCCGATCCCAAATTTTCACTCATTTTCTCCAAAATTATTTTCATTTAAATCCCTAATCAATTTTTACCATTTTTGTTATTATTATTATTATTATTTCCATTAAATCAAATTAAAATTAAATAAATTAAATTAAAATCATATTAATAATAATTATATTTATATATAAAAATAATAATAATTAATTAAAAAAAAAAAGAAAGGTTGGGTGTTATATCATATGTTTCTTAAGGTAACCCCTTTAAAGGGAATCAACAAGTTTGGTAAAAGGGAGAAATTAAATCCCTGTTTCATTGGACCGTTTAAAATCTTAAACATGATTGGTATGTCCGTTTACATGCAGCACTACCTTCAAAGCTATCCATAGTCCATAATGTACTTCACGTGTCTATGCTATGCAAGTACAATCTAAACTCCTCACATATCTTGTATCACGAGCCCCTTTTACTGCAGGAGGATCTATCATATGAGGAGGTACCAATAGACTTTGTGGACCAGAAGAGCAGAGTGCTTTACAACAGAGAAATATCATTCGATAAGATCCTATGGTACAATCACACACAGGAAGAGGTCACTTGGGAGATAGAATCAGATTTCAAGGCCTAGTAACCCCAACTGTTTGACTAAGTGAAAGGGTGACAATTTGAGGGACTAATTTTTTTTTTTAAGGGGGAAGAGTTGTAATACCCGGATTCGAAAATTGACCTGAAATAATTTTTTTATAGTTATTAAATATATAAATAATTAAAAAATTTATTTCAATTTAAATTTTATTAAATTTTTTAGAAAAAATAAATTATGGACAAAATTGAAAATAATTTTGGAGAAAATGAGTGAAATTTTGAATAAGAGGGGTATTTTTAAAAGAAAATTTTAAAATAGGGGGTAAAATCGTAAAAAAAAAATTCAACTAAGTGGGACGGCCCAATTAGAAACCACAATGAACTAGAGCGATCGAACGGACTAGATCAGGTCCTGCACACACGGATGGCTTAGATACATTTTTTCTTCAGGTGCGATCCAGCAGTCATATTCAATCCGATCGTGTGGTCCAGATTCATTCTCCGAATAAGAGGGATCCAATGGATGGGATAGGGTCACGTGTCCTGCACGAACGACCCAGATCGACACGGAGAGGGTATTTAAGTATTATGTTCCAGGGAAACCCTAACCCTAGCCACACCAGCCCTCGCCGGAGCAGAAGAAAAAAAGACGGCTGAAAAAGAAATTGATTGCTGTCATTGCCACACTGAAGCCACCACCAATGCCAAAGTAAGTAATTTGTCCCTTTCTCGCTTAGAATTCATTCCTAATCCTCCCTGTGGCCATATCGAAGCCAAAGGATCGATTGGTAAGCTGAAAACTGTGAGCAAAGCTCGATTAAGCCGCGGCGGCCAAAACTCGAAACCCTCTCCAGTGACCCCCTTCCCGTTTTTCATTTTATGTGATTTTTTTACCACCGTGTTCATCAACTTTTTTTGGTGCAAGTTAGCCGAAGAAGAACCCCAGTCGCGAAAGAGGACCGACGGAACCGCCACACCCGGAGACCCCCAGGCTAGTAGGTTTTGGTTTTTTAGCTTTTTCAGATACCTAAAGTTCCTTAACGTATTTTTCGTAGGGATACGTGTAAAACCGATCAAAACCAACCTAAGTGGGCCGAAATAAGCCAGACTAAGGCGAACTATCATCACGGGCGGTGGAGCGAGTGTTGGAGCACGGCGGTGCTGCCGTGCTGGAATCCTAAAATTTGTCGAAAAAGTTTTTCAATACCGATTTTGGTCTTTTGGGATATTTTTGGGTGCGTGACGGGTATTTTAATTTTCGCATAAGAAACTCAAAAAATTCGAGAACCGTCAAAAGGCGCAGTAGATAGCACAGTATTTCAAAACCCGATCCGAGTAAGAATCTCTCATCCTATTACCAGTTACGGTAAATTGAGACTTAAATAATCGAAAGTCTTGTATTTTGTGAATATTTAAAAAACCCAAAAAATAATTACAAATTACTAGTGAAGCCGTAACCAGTCAATTTATATTTGTCATGATTCAATATTTATTTTTCTGTACTGCTTAAATTGCTTACTGTTATAGTATGTGTACTAAATCGATGATTTTAATTATTTTATCAGTTTTTTGGTTTACCTCATTGCATATTCCCTTTTTCTGGTTTGTGCTGCAATAAATGTCTCAATTATGTTCTTGATGTACATATCGCCTATTTGTATGATTTTATCATTAATATGAAAACATAAGATATTAACACGTAACTGGTAATTGGTTTGTGATGTGATTCAATGTAAAAAAAACTTATTGAATACCTTAGAAAAAGATGGACGGACCCAGTACATAGGGAACCATACTCTGGGCATTATTTCAGTCGTACGAGACTGAGAAATCCTACACTGGAAGGGTTTGCGAGATATGGTTCACCCTCATACCATAGGAGAATTGAGGCAATGGTATGTTTGACGTCCATTACTGCGCAGAATATAAAAAATGACTGGATTAATTGAGTTCACGGGTAGAGAAATATCCCATTGGATCCCTAGTGGTTCTAGTAAGCAGTTAAAAAGGAAAATTCTTATCTCATTCACTTGTACATAAAATTATAATATTATATGAGTATTTGTCTTATTAGGTTGATTTTGGTAAACTCGTAACAGTAAATATGGAATAAACGTTTTTAATGTTAAATAAATTTATTAAAGTAAGGGTTACATTAATTATTTTGTGATTTTTATCAACCTTCGATTTTTCGTATCAATTATTAGTGTGATATTTTTATTAGGATAATGAAGGTCACCATTTTATTAACCATTTTAAATTAAGAAGACTAAAATTCAGATTCTAATAAGTAAAGAAGTTGTGAGTAGTTTAACTCCTTGACTCCCATAAAGTACTAATAGAGATTAATTTATTATGACATTTATTTGTTTATTTTATGAACCGATAGAAAAAGGATATTTCGATAATCTTATTAGACATTATAATTTACTGTGTAAGGAATATAATCCATAATTTCATTGTTTGCTTCCGCATTTAGAATATAAATTCATTTCTTTTAAGTTTCGGTTCTTTACACTTATATATGTATATATCATATATTATATATAACCCCTTAAAAATTTTGAGACGGACACTAGACATACTCTATATAACCATCAAATTTACAACACATTCAAATTTAATTTATGCTTCTTAGTTTGTCTCTGGATACTTGTATGTATATCAATTTAACACATACTTATTACAAGTTTCCGACATAATAAATAAAAAATAACCAAAAAAACAATTTGGGTAATTGGAACCCACATGCAAAGAACAAAAGATCAACCACAAATATAGATTATCAAATATTCAACCTCCTATAAAATTATTTATGCAATTAAATGACGAGGTTGGTTTGCCAGAAACCAGAGTCAGATTAAGTGCCAATTAATGCCATTATTGTGGGCTACTAGTCCCACTAGTCCCACAGTATCATTGAATATATATATATATATATATATATCACTATAATTTCAGGTTTTAAACCACACCCATTTCAATATATATTATTTGTTTATATTTATAACTTTATTAGGAATTTCCACCATTTTATAATTAAACATTACCAAACTAAATTTCATAAATTCCCAACAAAATATCTTATGATTATTTATAGTATATGTTTTTATTTTTATATCAAGCAATTTAGTTACGGGACGTTTAGGTACATTTTATGTTAGCCCATAATTTCTTTCTAAAATTAAATTTGATTGAAATTAATTTAAAAAAAAAATCAGTAAATATGTAATTATTAATGAAAAAAAAGTAAAATCTTAACCAAATTTTGGCCCGTTTTGTCTGTTGAGGTTATTCCAGTTTTTTTTTTTTTTTTTTAGCTTGGATGAACTTTTACTCCTCCCTCTGCTAACAAATTAGCTCAGCATAATTGTGTACATTCACTAAATTTCATTTATTTATGAAGATAATGGTTTCCTCGTGTCAAGTGGTTTCTATTGTCGTAACGTTTATAAATTGTAATCAACTGTTATTAACCAATTGCCACGTGTCTTGTAATTGCTTAAGATATTCAACTTTTAAAATTAAAAAATATGTCACAATATTTTTTAAATACATCATGTATTTATTAGATTTGATTGTATTTTATTATTATTTAAATTTATTTCTACTCACAAAATATGTTTTGTTATTATTATTTTTTGTTAATATTTTAACTATTATTTATTATCACGAAACTCTTATATCATATTAAATAACTGTTAATAATTAATAATTACTATTAATAATAAAACAATAACATACAGCAAAAAGAGTTATGAAGAACGAGTAATTTTAAATAATTAAAATTGGTGGTAAGAGAAAAATCTAAGGTTTTTTTTTTTTTTTTTTTTTCTTATTTATGTACAAGTGTCGTTGTCTTTGAATAACTTCATTCTAATTCTAACAATAATTATTTAAAATTTTTAAAAATATTATTATATTATTATAATTTCATTATTTAATAAACTAATATATAAATTTTAAAGATTTTATCTTTATTATTATTTTTTAATTTTATAAAATTTCTCTTGTTGCACAACATTTTAGTCCGGTACACTACTATCTCACGCCCTATAAAAAGGTAAGCAACCACCCCCCCCACCCCCCACACCGCACAACCCAACGAATAAGTTTACGAAGACGAAGACGCAGAGAAGTATTCAACAAATATTCCCTCCCTCCATCTTCCCCCTTGGCTTCAGACCCGCGACCAAGCTCTTCATTAATGGAGAACGGAAACTCGTCTTCCTCAACCGAAGGGAAAGCAATAAGATGCAGAGGTCTTCATTTCAATCCCTCGTTTTTTAACTATTATCCTGTTGAATTATCGGGAATGGAGTTGTTGATTTCGCTAGCTAACTTGCGATTTTTCTTTCCATGTCGTCTTCTTTTTTCCTCCGTTTTCTTTCAATCCAAACAGCTGCTGTCTGCAGAGAACCAGGACAGCCCTTGGTGATTGAAGAAATCGAAGTTGACCCTCCTCGAGCTTATGAAGTTAGGATCAAGATTATCTGCACATCTCTCTGTCACAGTGATGTCACCTTCTGGAAAATGCCTGCTGTAAGAAGCTATTTCTTACCAGCTTATGCATATTAATCTATACGTTTACTCAAAATTACAGCACTAATTAAACTGTAATTAATCATCCGCAGGGACCCTTCTCCATTTTTCCTAAAATATTCGGGCATGAGGCGGTCGGGTATGAATTCGTCAATCCCAAAATCTCTGACTTAACATAAAAAATGTTCTTCTAATTTGCAGTGAACTTTCGGAACATATATATAATATATTAAAATGAAAGGTGAAAAAATTCAACGAGTTACAGAGTTGTGGAAAGCGTGGGCGAGTACGTAGAGGAAGTGAAAAAAGGAGACACCGTAGTGCCGGTTTTCATTCCGGACTGCAGAGAATGCAGAGACTGCAAGTCAACGAGGAGCAACATTTGTTCAAAGTTTCCAGACGATCCAACTCAGAACACGCGAAGAGACGGAAGCAGCAGGTTCAGGGACATGAATGGAGAAACCCTTCAGCATTTTCTTTTCGTGTCCAGCTTCTCCGAGTACACGGTCGTCGACGTCACCCATATCGTCAAGATCTGCCCGGAGATTCCCGTCGACAAGGCCTGTATGCTCAGCTGTGGAGCGTCAACAGGTAAAACAACTCACCTGATAAGCTTCGCTTCTCGTTTGACTCTACTCCTATCTTTTAATTTTTCATAAAACGGAAAATTAGTTAAACTTTTTTCTAAAATAAAAATTTTAATTATTTAACGTATTTGGATAAAGCCAAATTATTTTTTCTGTTCATATATGTATATATATATACATATATTTATTTTTTGAATATTTCCCCTTATTATTTAATGACTTCATACGCAAAGTTTGCCCATTAGACAATGATGATGATGCCAAAAGAATGTACAACTTTAAAATTGTTAACTGCCGTGATCGTCTGGCTTCAATCCTATTTATATGTAAGAATAAACTAATAAGCAATTGGAAAATACTTATATATATATATATATATATCTATACGTATGTAGGATAAAGACAATTTACCTTATTCCAAAAAGAAAACGTAGGATGAAAGAATTGGAACGAAGCTGAAGCTGAAGAAAGCCCATTAACAAAGAATTGGGCATTCTTTGCGAACTTTTAACCAGATAGCAATCCAATCAAATTTTTAATTAATAAATATATATAATGTTTTGGTATTAAAAATTAATCAGATAGTTTTAAGGAGTAAAGATGAAAATTACAATCAGAGAAGTAAATGCAAGTCAAATCGATTTGGTGCAGGTAGCCATTGCCATTAAATGGAAGAAGCCCAAGAATATTTATTACGAAAATAATTTCAAGGGTCTGCCATTTTTCTTAAAAATAATCGCTAATTGAATTAAATAGACTATTCATTACTGTCTACAATTATCAAATTAATTGATGAACCGCCCTTCAGGCCTCAAACAGAATTTACTTGATTTTTTCTTTCCCAAAATAACTTCATCTCTCTTCATTGGGTGTCGTTTTCCCTGACCACATAAGAGATAATATCTTATGTATTTATACATATATATTATTATATATGTGATGTATTTATTATTGCTGGATGTGTTGAAAATGTCATCTGAGTTCTGGTTGTACTCTGGGGGCAGGTATTGGAGCAGCATGGAAAGTGGCAGACGTAGAAGAGGGCTCCACTGTAGCCATTTTTGGGCTGGGTGCCGTCGGACTTGCGGTATTTATTACTATTTATCCCTCCATATCTATAAGACCATTCATATATATAGGTATCAATTTTTATAAAAAAACATATACTTGCAAATTTACTGAATATATATATATATATATATATACATATATCGTATTTGTTCATAGTCTAAATGAGATATATACACACGCACACACACGTGATTAGGTCGCAGAAGGAGCAAGATTACGTAAAGCTTCAAAAATTATAGGTGTTGATTTGAACCCGGAGAAATTTGAAATAGGTAGGGTTGTATCTAAAAACATTTTTGATAAATAATAGCTTATTTATTTAATTATAAATTATTATTATTATTTTTTTTAATAATAATAATTATTCAACGGCAGGCAAAAGATTTGGAGTCACCGATTTCGTCAACCCTGCCGCATGTGAAGGAAAGTCAGCTACTAAGGTTGGTCATTACAAAAACAAGCTTAATTTTTGTTTACCTAATTAATAATTTTAAATTTAGATAATAAATAAAATTTATTATTTTAAAATAAGCAGGCAATTATAGAAATGACAAATGGAGGAGCTGACTATTCCTTTGAGTGTATTGGGCTGGCATCGCTGATGAATGATGCATTCTTCAGCACTCGCAAGGTTTTTTCTCTCTTAAAATTCATTTTATTTGTGATCAGATCACCTGCCGGGTTTGTTTGTTATATGTATAATTTGAGAGGGTTGTTGATGAGTAGGGTTGTGGAAAGACGGTGATAATAGGTGTGGAAATGCACGGTCAACCACTGTCTCTCAATTGCTACGAGATTCTCAGAGGCAAAACTGTTAGTGGTTCATTTTTCGGAGGCCTCAAACCTAAATCCGACATTCCACTTCTCGTCAACAAGTACTTAAACAAGGTCAGTTTTACCCCGACTAACTAAATTACATGCACTATAAATTATTTTATTTCTTATTTTCAAAAGATAATTATTTCTAATGCAGGAGTTGGATTTAGACAAATTCATTTCTCATGAAATAAAATTCGAAGAAATCAACAAAGCATTTGATTTACTCTTGGGAGGGAAAAGTTTGCGTTGCATCATATGGATGGATAAATAGATGCAAAAGTGTATTATGTCTTTTGCTCTCTGTTATGAGCTAATGGACTCTGTCATAATAATTTATTATCAAATTTAAAATATTATAATTTTTAATTTATAAAAATCTGGTGTGGATATAATATTTTATAAGTCACGCGGATAACCAATATCCTTTACCTTGTGTACATCTAAGTATATATATATATATCTTTTATAGAATTTTGTTGTTTTTTTTTCCCCTCCAAATAATCGGAGAAATTTAACAAAAAAGCTGGCGGAATAATTCATGAGAGCGTATAATAAACCATTTATAAACATATTTTATCAAATAGAATAATTTATAAGTATATATTTTATATCTTAGTACTAATTTAATAATTTATTAAATCATGTAATTTCAAGTTTAATAATCTTAAACAATTTCTTAAAATTTACGAAGAAACTCTTACATTCTATATTCATTATGTTTTGTAAATACAAAATTGAAGAAACAAGTGACAGAATGTGGCATTTTAGAACTTCATAGATTTATTTTTTGTTTATGAGACAAGAAATCTATACACTTGAAAATACAGATTAAACAAAAAAATTATTGTAATTATACTGTGTATCAAACTGCTCATTATATTTTTAATTGAATTAATTGTCTCAAAATTTATAAGTAATATCAAATAACGTGGTGAAATAACAATTTTTTTTTTCATTTTTAAACAAAAATAATTTTAGTAATTCTTCTCCTTTTCTTTTTATTTTTCTACTTAATTCGTGATATAAATTAATTGAACAATTTTTAAAAAAATTAAAAACAAAAAGAAAAATAATACATTAATTTAGCCGCTAAAACTATGAAAGTGGCCCAAAAAGAAAAAAATGGGTGGGGCCGAAATATATTATACCAAAGACTTTCATACGCCCATTTCAGCCCAAAATTTTACTGAAGAAACAAAAAAGTTCTTACTTTTAACCGCCGGTAATACAGTAAAAAGCTGTTGGAAGGTAACCTGCCTTTTTTTAATCTCAGTCTCTCTCGTTTGTTCCCGTCTCGAGCGCAAGCATAAGAGTCTGCTAGGTCGCCTCTCTGTTCGTGAGCTGCTAGGTGAGTACAGTACAGATCTTCTCGTTTTCCTACAATGGCGGAAGCTATAACTGGAAATAATCCATCCCTATCTGAGGTACTCACTCTGTTTATATCCAAATTCTTCACGGTTTCTCTCTTTTGCTTTGTTTTTGTTTTCTTTTTCAGAATTGAATGAGATTATACAGATCAAGTTCGATTAGTTATGTTTCCTTGCAAATTCCAAAATATTGGGAATTCGGATATTCTGTCTTATTCCTTAATTTCTATGTAAAAGGCTATTTGTTTCTAGGGTTTTTTGTTTGATCTGCCCCATTTCTATCTGGTTCTGATCTCGATTGAACCTATTTTAGTCTAACCTGCAATGAGAATCAGGGTCTTTTGGACTTTTTGCATTTTATTCTTGCTTACCACGCTTATGACTTAATTTCTTGGTTGTGTGTTGCTGAATTTCGGGCGACCTAAGCTTTCTTCAGTTTACTAGAAAAAAATTAAGCATTGGGTTTTCAGTAACTTGCTGTGACATTTGTGTTTCATATGCGGTTGATTCTTGATCTGTCTTTCTCTCATATATTATTTGTCTCATCTATCCACGTAATGAATTTAATAAACATCTATTTTCCTCGTAAAAGTGTATATTGGCTGATACCATATGGGGGCGGATCTGTTACTGCAATACGGCTTTTAAGGTCTGCAACATCGATTGTCCGATCAATTAAATCTCAGAAAAATGGAAGCTTCTTTGTTAACCCATGAACTGCTGAGTTTTGTGATATTAGTTTGACTAGGTTCATGGACAGTTCTCGGTATGCCTTTGAGATTGTAATAAGACATCATTGCCCACGGATGAGTGGTTCTACTTGGCTCTTTCAGATTCAGGAGCTTTGAGTCAGCACATTAAATTTGAGCTTCTTTGTTAAATCATGAAGGATTGACGCAATATAAGACTTTGGTTGGTTTTTGAACAGTTTAAAGTATGCAATTAAGCTTTATAATAAAAAAGGTCCAGATGAAGGAAATGTTCCATGAAACATCTGTTAAAAACAGTTATGGTACTGCTTATAGCCTGATAAGATATGAGGAAAACAATATATTACTAGTAATCCGGAGTAGGTTTTGAACTTAACTCATGAATCTAAAATTTGATTTGATAGGGATTGGGTTTTGTAACTTGTTTTTCCACGAAGTACATGTTTTGACTCTTTTGCAACACAGTTCATAAACCTTTCAGCTTGGCAACATTTGCTCAAGTTGGTACTTTTGACTAACTCTGGCGCATGTCCTTGGAAGAATCCTGCCTGACTTGCAATTATTATGATCTTTCATTGTTATACTTCTTTTGAAGTGACAGGCGACCAGGCTGATTTTTCTTTGAAGATTATAATCTGATGTTTATACCTCATGGGGTTTACCTTTGATGCCTGTAGTATTGTCATTTCCTCCTTGATAGCTTATGTAAGCTAATTTCTGGAACCTTTTCTGATACTGTTTGGTATGCAGCAATATTTTTTGGGGAAAGAGGAGAAGCAAGAGATAGCCACAAAACCTATGGAAGTAAAAGAGGTTGAGAAACCAGTTATTGTTGCTGCTGAGGAGGTTGCCACTGAAAAAGTTGAGGAAGCAGCACCTGTTACTGAAACAAACGCCCCTCCTGCTGCTGTTGAAGAAAACAGCCCTCCAGCTGTTGAAGAAAGTGCCCCTCATGCTGCAGAAGAAGAAGGCACTGGATCCAATCCAGCGGCTTTGGAGGACGGCACGGAAAATGAACCAGCGGCTGAAGAAAGCAGTGAAGAAAGCCAAGAAGCAGCTGAGGAGACACAGAAATAAAGTTACTATCTTTCTAGATGAA